GCCGGAAGTGTCAGCTCCACCAGCCCAGCGGGGAGGGCGCCAAGCCCCAAGGTAGGAGCTGTTGCCTGTGGGCCCAGCACAAAGGTGGGGACAGGGAGGAGGGAGAGTGACTGTGAAGGTGTGACACAGCGTCTGGGGACTGAGTGACAAAGGCAGAGATGTCCAGTGGCACTGGCCCAGGCCCTCCAGTGAGACTCTGCCGCCTCCCTCCCAGGAGCCTGGGCATCAGGAACCCTGCAGGAGACATGCCAAGCCCCTGGCGAGGCTGCCCTGCCATCCACCCTGGGCTCAGCACGGAAGGACAAACGGAGAGTATGTACCTCCACACACCGCCGGGAAGGCTGACCTGGGACGCTGGACGCAGACTCGGGAACCGCAGGGCAGAGCCCCAGTGCCCTCAGTGTGCACTGGTGCCAAGAACTCTTCACTGACGGGCAAGACCTCGGCTCCAAGGACAGCTGAATGCACACAGGTGAGAGACGGTGGCCACTAGGGGACCCCACGTCCCAAGTCCCAGAACCCAGGACGTGGCTTTATTTGTGGAGAAGGCTCCTGGCTGCTGTAACTGAGGATCAGTGCGCTTTGATTCCCCTGGACAGCTGTCCTCGTGAGACAGGCGGCCACATCGCTGGGGGCAGGACCAGAGGAGGAGGCTCCTGCCCAGAGCTCCCAGAACTAGGAGTGCGGCTGTGAGCGCCACCTGTCCTGATTGTGATGGTGGCCACAGGAAGCTACGACACAAGGCTTCTTTCCCCCCGTGACACGCGCCTGTCCTGCTCCCCACTCTATACCCTAACGATGCTTGTTTCTTTTCCTCTGGCACTGGGGATTGAACCCAGGGGCATTTGCCCTTTTTGTTTAATTTTGAGACAGGGTCTCCTTGAGTTGTCCAGGCTGGCCTTGAACCACTGCCCGAGCTGCTGGAACAACATCCAGCAAGGATGGTCATTTCTTTTCAATACCAGGGTCCAACTCCGGAGCACTCGACCACTGAGCCACATCCCAGCCCTATTTTATATTTTTTCTGTAGAGACAGGGTCTCACTGAGTTGCTTAGCGCCTCGATATTGCTGAGGCTGGCTTTGAATTCTTGATCCTCCTGCCTCCAGAGCTGCTGGGATTAATATTTCGGATGGGCATTGCCTCCTCTCGGTACCCAGGAGCGTGTGGGGAGGAGTCCAACATTAGCTGTCCATCTTGAGCCATGCACAGTAACAAGGAGGTTATCACCCTACATGCACATGTGACTCTGCACCACTGCAGCCAGAGGGAGGAGGAGCTGTGCTCCATTTCCGTACAATGTGTCAAAATGCATCCTCCCCTCAGATACAACGAAAACCCAGACACCAGGATCCCTGGAACCCCC